ATGGGTGACGTTGGACTCGAGATAGACTGTATCATTCTCGAAGGTGTTAATTCCCAAGAGCTTCACAATCTGTTTGTGATCCTTGTCAAGATAGAGAACCCAAGCGTTAGTGATCACACCAGTCTGAGCGAGGGCAGTGAAGTTGAGACCCGATTTGGGATCGACACCTTCTACTCCACTTGTGACCCATTTGTTCAGCTTCTGTCCACCTTCATCTACCAAACCTTTATAGACCCAACCATCATCCTCAAGCGTAAGATTGGCATTGAGCCTGCGAGAATTGGGCGTATCATTCTTTCGCCTGGTTCCCTCCTCTACGGGGAAGGACTGTTTATCGAAGAGTTGAGAGGTGCTGAAGTGAGTGTCGTTCTGGCTCATGAGGATATACAGATACGGGTGATTTGGCGCTGCTTGAACTACCGCTTGACCGTCCTTGACGACGAAGATGTCTCGATGAACGGTGAACGACTTGTTATCATCCATACCAGGTAGGACCAGCCCTTTAGTCTCCATAGCCTTGGAGGTGTGACATGACACTGCGTTCCCCTTGATGTCCCTCAGGGCGAGGTTGCAGAAATGCGTCGACTTCATCTGTATGCGAACGTTGCCCATTTTGAAGGCCCAAACCACGCCACGTATCGATAGGACGACGAGGAGGATATTCAACATCGGGATGATAAACGCAGCTGCTGACTACTCACTGAATAGTATTCAGTACAACGCTACTGTGCGACTGGAAGCAGTTATGCTTTTCAACTCGATTCTCATACCTAACGCGGACAAATAACCTTCGACTATAACTTAATCTACTATTACAGTTCAGTTAAGGAACAAGCTCACTGAACAAATCCATTGTAGCTCACCGAGGTTTTCGGAGATGCACTCGTGGAACGCGTGAATCAGTTTCACGCGTAGTGTTCCATTCGTGAAGTGCGATGTAGTCACACCACTTCGCTCCATAACGAGCCTGCAATACAAGCCCTGTATATCACGCGAATCACGGATCAGTCAACTAAATGCGTCAATATAAAACATTTCAGTCCGAGACGTTCATCTCACGGGAAGGAAAGCTAGGCCTCGAGCCAAGGTTCGGCTACAGTCGAGGCAGCAGAGAGGTATCGACAATCTCAGAGAGGGTTGGCTGTAATGAATTATCACGCCTCACTACTTTCTTGTTGAGAAGTGGTAGCTTGTGAGAGGGCCTCCTGCGTAGAGCGTCTACAGTAGAGGGTTTATCACCTTTATTTATATCCTCTCTTGTGATACACGCAGAGTTGGCCCTTTGGAGAGGGAGTAATATGAGCATCCTCAGCCCGGGCTGGGGCCAGGGAGAGAGAAGGGTGCGACTGCACGTTCATAGGCTCCCTGTGCTGCACCGCACAATGGGGCCTCCAGCACAGTCGGCCTACCTGTCGACGGAATTCACTTTACTCGCTCGCTAGTTCACCCTGAACACTCAACCATACTATTGTTGTATGGGTCATTCCCTCCGGGTGTCTCTCGACACATATCGGGGTTCGGGTGCCCCGTCGGGTTTCGGGAGGGACAAACAGATCCGTCACTTTGGCTGTCATCCTTTT